TCCTCCGATCACATCAAAAACGTCGGATAGCACTGCACCTAAAGCAGCGTCAAAATCAAAGCCGCTTCCAAAAGCTTCCACGAAAGCCAAATGCCTTCCCGAGCTTCGACCAATTGTCGAGGCCGAACAACGACGCGCCGCCGAAACAGCGGCAAATCTGGCACTCTGTTCCGCCGCCATTAAGCAATATATGGCCTCGGGCTCAGCCTCCACGCCACCCGTCCTCCCTCCTCGCTCTACGAACCCTCTTCCAAGGGCTCCCGATTCCAGGAGTACACCAGTTCCCGCCGACTCAGTACAGCCATCAAAAGTCACCTGGGCTATGGTATCAAGAAACGGACTGTGATAAGCAGCAACCCCTACAGCGATCACCAGTGACGCAAGCTCTCACCTTACGCTGTAGGGGAAAAAGTACAGGATGGGCCGCAGTGCGCTGTAAGTATTGCCAGCTCTCTACACCGAGTTAGAACCGGCTTTGCGATTCTAACAAAGATGAAAATACAAGGGAAAGGCTCCTAGATGCCGCACCGGAATTGTCGGATATCAACGCCAACCTCTAAGAATCTTCCAACCTTATCGCCTTTCGAATCCAGAATGTTCCCGCGACCGTAAAAACACCCGACACTATTAGTATGGTCGATTCTGACTCTGTCAGAGCCTAGATATACCTTCAAACCGGAAAGGTGGCAATCCAGGTGTAACTATACGGGACATGCCGTACTGGGGCGCCGCAAAGAAATTGGCAAGCCCTCTTTGCCCAGGACTCCGCCCCTCGCGCTGGCTTTCGTATTCTCGGCGAGTCTAGAGTGGCGACCATTCTAGAGCCTTGTCGAAAAATTGAACAGTGCAAACGCTGTTTGGGCTTCCACGTCACCCGTGGTTGCTCCCGTGCTCCAGCCTGCTGGAATTGCGGATCAAATATGCACTCGGAAGACGAGTGCAAGGCCCTCACCGATCGGATTCGCGGGTCTGCCAAGCCAGACCCAACAAGACAGGACCGGTGTCAAAAGAGCAGCTCGAGCGGATCCGTCACATCCAGCAAGGGGAGTTCGAGAAGGTGGCACGAGCTCGGGCAGCAGCTAAAAAAGCCGAAGAGGCGATCTTCGCCGTGGCGAAGGATGTCTCGATGGCCGAGGCAATAGGTTTCGGAGTGTTGGAATCTGAAAAAGAAGCTTGAGGACACAGCAACCTCGACGATGTCCCGGAAGGGACATCTACTAACCAATAGCAGGATACCGGCTAGACCAAAGGTGCCTGCTAACCCATCTCTTGCTCTAAGCGGAGATGGATTAAATTTGTTATTTGGAAGGTGTGACGGGCGAGGGAATGTGTGAGTAGCGCATTGCTTGAGTCCAAAATGGAGGAATTCTCTGTCTCTCGGAGTTGTTTTGATTGTCGGGGGTTAGCCTTTTTTTTGTTTCTGTGAGCGGATGCATATTTAAGTATAGTGAGCTCTAGTTGTGCAGTCATGTAATATACAAGGACTGAGAGTTATGCAGGAATCCAAGGTGATCCGTGCATGGATACACATAAGATGGGCGGTTTTTTTGGTTGAACCTAGACAGAGAACCTTAGTAATTTAGTTGTAATACAAGATTGAGCCAATAACGTTTACAGTTTCTGTTTAATCAGCTGCACTTTTGGCAGCGATTCACGAGGCTGGAACGAATTAGGCTGTAGGAAAAAGTACAGCGGACCTTGCCAGCTCCACCGGTCCTTCGTTTTTTTTTTAAATCATTTAATGTGTATTCAGCTATCTAGCTATAACACATGACCGACGCTATGTAAACAAGTGGGATGACTCTTTTGACGTTAGAGACACTCATACTCTAGATTTCATTTGCAAATACCACTATGAGGTTTGTTCGCTTGAACAAACAGTCGACCCTCCTCCGTAAGTACCCACCAAAGGGAATTTAAAAACCTTTGATTATCCAAGCATGCCTTCGTCATCCATGCATACCAGCGCCGCGAGAAATGTGGTTGTGTTTTGCTGGATTTGAACCAGCGATCTACTGTCTCAAGTGGGATATGTGTCCAAGCTATCCAGACTCTACTTGGCAGACCGGCCAAGACGATGTACCACCGCACCATCCAGCCATGGCGGTGTTTATAGTGTCGCCTGCACTCTCGCAACCGAAGACTTGGCACGCACAAAGCTCAATGTGTTAAAACTCCTTGCCAAAACTCAAAATTCCACGCCCGTCGGGACTGTATCCAATCCTCTGCATCATCTTATCGACTTGTCCTGATCCCTCTCACATTAATCCCAAGGAAACGTCTTCCAGATTTGTGCGCCACGCTTTGCTTCCTCCGTCGGGTGTAAATATCGGCGTGGACGTGTATCTGGCGACCAGCTAAGGCCAGAGAAAGTCGACAGGAGATGTGGTCATTGGAATGAGGATGTACTAGGTCATACTTGTAAACTTGATGAGGCTTAGGTAGGAATCGATTTCGTTGGGAGTGAAAGATTGATATGGTGGAGTAATTTGAATCATTGCCTCGTAGGCCAACTTGTTCGGTATTGCGAAATTTGACTGAACTTGGCTCTGGGAGAATATTTCACCCCCAGGTTCCTAGAGGACACCGCGTACAGGTGTTTAGTCTTGCCCTCCCCACCGGTCCTTGACCCAATGTGGAAAAGATAGCTTTAGCTTAGGACCAAAAATAGTTAAAAAAAATACTAATTGTAATGCCGCTATTTAGAGACTGGATCTCTTTCATGCGCCATAATAACTACTTATGCGCTAGTTAATAGATCTACCATACTACAGAGCTGAGCATAACAACTTCAGATTTACTTTACCGTGCGATATGCTATCTGAGTTACATGCCTGCTTGGTACACGATACGCCCAGGGATCAATCAAATAACCGAAACCAACCCGAAACTACTCACAATCTCACCTAAGACGCCACAAATATTGAAAACAGAAGCCTGCAATGGAACAAATTCAATTTAGAAATTGCCAGTTGCAACCTAATCCAAATGGAAAAATCATCCCAGAGCCAAGTATCGTCAAACTTAGCGAAACCGAAGAAGTTGGCCCGTGAGGTAATGATTTGAAACTCTCCACCACGTAAAATTTTCAGTCCCAATGGGATTTAGCATCACCCAGGCCTCATCGAGTCTACAAGCACGACCTAATTTATCCTCCGTTCAATGACCACACATCTTGATGAATCCGGCTATATTCTCAGATGGCCTCGATATAGAAACCTAAGAGTATAAGAATGCTGGCAGGAGTTCACTAATTGTGGCGCACAAATCTTAGAGGCAGGCCTTTGAGGAGGGCGTGGGAGAGACAATAACAAATGGAGAAGCTCACGCTAAATATGAATTGAATCTTAAAAGGGATCAGATTTTGAATTTTGGCAACAAGTTTTACTAACTGAAGAGCATCTTGCGCACTAAGTCTTCAATTGCAAGAGTACAGACAACAATATAAACAACGTCATCATAGATGGTGCGATAGTAAATTATTTGGTCCGGTCTGCCAAGTAGAGTCTGGATAGCTTTGAAATATATCCCACTCGAGACAGGAGGTGGCTGGTTCGAGTCCAGCACGACTCGACCACATATCTTGCGGCGTCAGAGTGCTTTGATGAAGCAGGCACGCTTGGATAAACATATGCTTTCAAACATCCCTTTGGTGGGTTCTCACGGAGGATGATCGTATTTTAATCTTAACAGACAAACCTCTTAGTGTTAAGGAATAAATGTAGATTCACATCACGTGACTTTATGACGTTAACCCGTCACTCATTCTGTATGTAGTTTGACGGAACTCAGCAAGAGTTCTGTTTCCCCTTTGTAGACAGTTTGTTCAACCAGATTTGACCTCGTCGATCTATTTTCCCTTACCGTGACACTTAGCGGTATTTTCGAATGGAATCCGGAGAATGATTATCTCTACATTGAAGACACCCATCCAACATGTATGCAAGACACTAATCATATGTCTCAGTCCTACTTCTGAGCACACAATAAATGATCAAAAGAAGTATTGCTCCAATTGAATACCCAACCGGCACAGTTTCTACTCAAATGTCGAATCGTGACCCATTCGATCATCCAAGATAACCAATGAGAAAGAGTCGAAGCGGAGACTCCCCAACCACAGCGGGTACAGGATATTGACACTATCCGCTCGTCACCAAAGTCATGCGTTCGTGTCCTTGCTTTGCCCCATCTCATGTGGAATTTATTATCTTTGTAGAAGATCCCCATAGCTCTCCCTCAGACCACTTACATATCCTTCCCAACATTGTCTCCATTCACATTAGAATCTGCTTCATCCGATATTATAACTCGTATCGCCACGTAGTTGCTGCACCGCCCTTGACCTCGGAGGCGGAACTCGAAATTAAGACACGGACCGTAAGTCAACAGCATAATGCGTGAGTTGAAGTTCGTAAATATTCTCGTATTGACCATGATGGTGCGATCTTAAATTCTCAGGAGGCATCGCTAGGTACTGAAACGATCAGAGAGTTATCAGACGAGCTCAGCTGCTGTACATGCTTCATATATTTTCAGGAGCGCAAGTAAGGTCAGTTATTTGAATACGACATTCGGAAGACTTGAACGCAACTGTGATTCCTATTTGATATGAAGCATGTCGATTTTGTGGATCTGTGTCGTCGTAAAACCTCTGCTGATCATGATTTTGACCAAAATTAAGCCATCGCACCTTGCCTCCACTGTTAACTCGAGGAAGACTCTCATCTCCGTCCTGGACCATGACTCAGACTTAAAACTCTGAAAACTATACATCCCTTATTTCGTAGAGGGCACTGAAAACATGTGTCAGTAGTTATCCTTCGACTGCAGCTCAGTGGTGCGAGAAAGTTTTAGTTGAGGAGAGCAAGGTGGTGCTCGTAAATCTTCCCAGTTTGATAAATAGGGCTCTTGGCCATCTTCTGACGAGCAAAACTATCGCAGCGCGTTTCACTCATTCATTCGGCCTCACCCTATCCGCACTTTACCATCAATTAGCTATGTTGCTCCACCTATTTTTGTTGTATCTTGGGCTTCCTTTCATTCGGACTATACAAGCACGAGCTGAGGAACCATCGATTAGTGGCGTTTCAAAGATCTCAGCAGCTAAAAGTATATGGCTTAAAAATCCTCTACCATTTTCCTCAGATATCAAAAAGAAACATTTCCCCGATAGAGGATTCGAATGTTTAGAATGGCCCATCACTATGAAAGATGCCGAAAGATCCCTCTCTGCCGCTTATAACGAAGTGAAAGCCAGCAAGTCGTGGTTCGGTGGATCAAAAAAGGGGAATTTTGTAAGCATGCCGTTACTACAGCCTACACAACAACAAAAGTTTTACATGTATCCCATGTTTGAACTCGATATTGATTCCAAGGGCAATATTGGGCCCGCTCCGTACATGATAATCTCTGAGAATGGCAGAAAGTATGCCATCTACATGGTCACGGGCGGGAATAAAAGGAAAATCCCTAAGAATCCAAATTTGAGGTATCGCCTATGTTTCAGCAGTAATAATTGACAAGGTCCTACCGATAATGCTCGCCCAGATCGAAGGTATTCAACTAGATTCAAGTATTTCTTTGTATGGGCGGTGACTGATCATTTTAAGGCCTACTTATTCGCAGTTCATCTAGCGTGCAGACGTGCTGGAGTTGCTGGGCAAGGACAGCCAAAGTGATGGCTTTAGATCCAAGAGGTAATATGCGATAGTCTGGGAGCAGTATGCATCTAGAGCAGAAAATTCAACGTGGGAGGATCGCATGCACGCATTTTTCGAGGCCGAGACCATACCCGACGATTTGTCTCATCTTCGCTCCAAGCCAATGTGATTGAATCAACAACAGGCTATTGGAAAATTACAAATGATGGTGAGAGAGCTGGCCTTGGCGGCGTATACCGGTGAAAACAAAACATATTCTGCAGATATTCGGGTACTATCTGTTGGGCAACAGTCTCACTTCAACTTTATTCGTGAAGCGGTGCTTGGACATGACTATTTTTCATCTTTTCGTTGTCAGGGATAAGTGGGCTTACAACTGCACTTATTGCGAGATGACGTTGCATTTGCTACGTTATTTCAAGCTAACTCCATCACTATCTCTTGATAGCCGCACATTAACAGATATATGTCGAAAAGACTGGCGATACCTTGCAGTCACTCTAGCCTCATAGATAAAAATGGATAGAAAATTATGCGTTTGAAATTCTGTGTATGCATAGGGCCTTCTAAATATAGATGCATGTTCGTTAGCGTGCTGGGAAACTTGTAACCTCCGCACTCCTGTTGGAGTTTAGGCACGAGTGGGGCCCGGCCGTATCAGGTTAACTACCGTATAACTACAATAAACCTCTTCATTTACACAGAAATATAACGACGGCACAAGCCAGAACTCTAGCCCCTCAAACTTAACCCATGTTGGCTATGGCTCAGATTGAAAGAATGTTGGTCTAGGTGATGGATAGCTTTCCCGTTAATGTAGATAATTAACTGTTTGCTGTAGTGCAAAATAAAAGTCTTAGCGGGGAAGTACATTTGACTTCTTTTGATAGTTCGGGCTGCATGGCAGGTAGGCCTTGGCCCATTTATAACATGTCGGGCTTATTTGAAAGTATCGGCACAGCGGGCAGTTTATGCAGACTGAGGGGGCCAGCATGGTACCTTTCGGTTGAGTTGTGAGCTAGCACGACGTTGAATAATCTAAAAAAAAACTACAATAAACCTCGTCCTACTTGAATAGCATAAACACATCAATCTTGCCCCATGCACAGAACGTGTCAAGCTCAACCGTCCAGTGTAGCCAAGTTTGACGCGACTAAGCGCATTTTCCTCAGAATTATCTACTACGCGCTCGAGCCCTGGACACGCCCTAAATCCCTACCGTTTCCTCTTCGTTCAGTCCCTGCCATTTCCAATGCCAACATCTCCTAATTTTATATGGGGGGTAAGAATTTTCATGGGTTGCCTTATCCAGTTGCCCACCGAGGCCGACCTAGTTTCCTCCCCTGCCTCCCCCAATTCTAGCCTCTCGTTAATCTCTCTGTCGACGGCGTGACCTTATAAACTTACTGCACAGTCTATCCTTCGACCTTGCTTTCTCGCTGCCGTACCCCTGACCGATGGAGTTACTTGCAATCGGGAGTTTGCCCCATTTATTACCCGCCATCTCCCACTACGAATTACGACGTTACGCACACCCGCAAGAAAGAAGGTTAGTCGTCAGTTACAAAGTTTTGGATCTGACATATGGGGGACTATTGCTCTAATAAATTTTCACTTATTAAGAGAGGATAGACGGCTGGGCCGTGCAATGATAGAATATGTCACTGTTGGTGTTGGTACAACGGGGTTCACTTGGTTTAATGCCTTAAAAGTGCTAAAAACAAGTGATATATTCTGTCTATCTCTCTTCTGTATCCCTCCTCAAGCATTAATATCTAAAGTACAAAATGAAGCTCAGCGCCCTGATTACATCACGTGATGCGCTGACCAATACTTTTGGAAGTAAATGTTTAATACAAGCCCTTTATCCATACGCCATTCACCTGTGAACCGACAGTTGGGCACCATAAGACTCATACTTTTTCGCGGGGCTCTCGTCTTTGAAATGCTTTGCGCACCAAGAACATGATGCTGGTTAATTAGCCAGGAGAACCTCTGTTGTCGATGAGTCAACGGCACAAAATAATTTGGGCTAAGCTACCACACAGCTACTACAATCTACCAAGACTTTTCTGACACTTCAGCGCGACCTTTGGGAAGGAGTTGGAAGGAGGCTAGAAAGGTAGAGTACGAACTTTCCGAGATACCCACAAGTCTGCAGCGCCTAGCTGGCCGGCCTCTTCGAACGCTTCAGAAGGGTCAGTATTTCTTCGGTTTTAGTCCTAATCTTGGTACAATAAGAGCCCTGCACCACGTAGTTTTTGCAATTCTTCCGGCTGCCATACACCCGCAAATGGTCATCGTTGCGTTGGCTGGAGAGGGGAGATAATGAAGGGCTAAGGGCTCCCCTAAGTGTATGATCGAATGAGGGCTTGTGAGGGGTGGTAGTGTTTGAGGGGAGCTGTATAGGAGGCAAAAGATGGGATGTACTACTGGCATAGGAATCGTTGGCCGGTAGGCAGAGAGGACCTGCATGTCCTACATAGTTGTAGACTCAGAGAGGTAAATAATATGAATTGACAATAATAACATTGAAGGCTAACTTGATCCAACCCGCCATCTCCGTGTCGGGTGCTGGGTACGCTCCGGGAACTCATCGGATGGCATCTCCTCCATAACCAGGGGTTGGTGATGAGTAGGGCTCCGACCCTACCATCTGATCTGATCGTGGTTAGCTTCATGATAATGGTGATGGGGGAATGTGTTGGGAGATTGTAGTGAAGAAGCATGAAGTTATTTATTTATTTATTTATTTATTTATTTATTTATTTATTTATTTATTTATTTATTTATTTATTTATTTATTTATTTATTTATTTATTTATTTATTTATTTATTTATTTATTTATTTATTTATTTATTTATTTATTTATTTATTTATTTATTTATTTATTTATTTATTTATTTATTTATTTATTTATTTATTTATTTATTTATTTATTTATTTATTTATTTATTTATTTATTTATTTATTTATTTATTTATTTATTTATTTATTTATTATTTATTTATTTATTTATTTATTTATTTATTTATTTATTTATTTATTTATTTATTTATTTATTTATTTATTTATTTATTTATTTATTTATTTATTTATTTATTTATTTATTTATTTATTTATTTATTTATTTATTTATTTATTTATTTATTTATTTATTTATTTATTTATTTATTTATTTATTTATTTATTTATTTATTTATTTATTTATTTATTTATTTATTTATTTATTTATTTATTTATATTAACGTCGTGCCTGCGCACAACACAGTGCTTTAAAGCCCCATGCCGGTTAGCTCAGCCTATAAAGGGCTACCCGACGCACCGGCATTCCCATAACAAAAACCCGATAAAGACCCCACTGCTCCCGGTCCGCATAGTCCCCAGATCAGTGAGACTCTTCTTAAATTGATATAAATTATATAATTAAAAGCGGAACTTAAACTACATGTGGATATTCGTATTTAGATAGCGTTGGTGTCTAAGTAATCAGGGCTGTCCTACAAATGTAGGTGCAAACAGAGCTTCCCCAATTAATGGTACCTTTGAAACTCTTCGAAAAAATAGAGTGGACTTAAGCCAGTCTCGGAACAAGATAGCTCCTTCTGGTGAGCTTAAAATCCAGCGAGCGTCTGGGGGACGGGGGCGATTGGCTCCACGAAGCCGCGCCTGTAGTAGGCCATGTTGACAGGTCATGAAATGCTCCGCCGATTTATCATGTCCACAGGAGCATGTTAAAGGTGCGCTGTTGTGTAGAAGCATGAAGTTTATTTGTAATATTTAACGTCGTGCCCGCGCACAGCACGTGAGCTCCTCACGTGCCGGTTAGCCCAGTCTAAATTAAACTACCCGACGTGTTGGCGGCCTCCCAGACCCACCAAAGCAAACAATAGCTAGGATTTTATCATCCTACGCTCGAAGATTATAGTGTACATGAAGGTCGTCCGTCCAACGAATCTCATGCTATGCCGTTGGTACTAAATCAAGAAAGGATTTTACAAAACAAAATAAAAAATAAAAGGAGAAGATTGTTTACATCAGATCGTGATTTCGGTCGAATCAGACTGTTCGTTGTGCTCTTTCGAAGAAATCTATGACACGCACCCAATTATTGAATGCATCAACTCCCTCCGCCGAAGCAAGTGCCCAGGATACGCTGGGATAGCATGAAGTTTTATTGTGGTGCTATCTAGCATTAAGTACATTGTATCACGTGATATATAGAATCCACAACAGAGATGAAGACGATACAGACCGCGCAAGCTATTTGGAATCCTCATCGTAATGAGGATCCTGTTACTCAGATTCAGGTCTGCAGACTCTGCAGTGAGCACTGAGAATTCTAAGAGACACCTCTGGCACTGTTTTATATTGTCTTTCCAAAATATAAATTTAACCTCGATGAGGCTTCGCACTCTCCCCCGCAATGACCAGGGCGAGGATCGAACTCGCGACCAACAGCGTTAGAGGGGTAAACCTTGTAAAGCTGGTGTGATAACCGCTACACCACCCGGCCTGTAGTAGCAATCCAACTGTCAAAAATATATAGATAAAATATTGCTGGAGGGGATACGCACAAGAATTTCTTTCTGCAACCATCCTAACTGAATCTATTCAACTGGCGATCACGCACTTATGCCACCAGTCCTAACATGGAGTTGAAAGTAGTTATTACGCAGGCTGCCGTAAAATTCTCATCATGACACCCGCCCAGCCACCGAACCCAAAATCACCGGACTAAGAGCCAACGTCCTGCGCCGGGATAAGCACAGATATATCTTGTAATTAGACTTCTCTCCTTTTGTTTTCGTTTTTAGTTTTTGGTCCTAGGTTATACCCGCTATTCACTTAGGGTCAAATACCGGTGTTCCTAACTAAGGTCATGTCTGTAACACGCCCATCTTTTTCCCACCACGTGAACCGCTACAAAAATAGTTGCCAATTAAAACTGAAAACCAAAACATGTCGCAACAAGAATACAAAAACAGAAGATTCTTTCAAATATGGACCAGGCAATGTATTCCTCACACATTCTCTTATTAGTCACATCTCTCAAATGACAAAATTGCTCAATCTAAGATGAGAGCTAGAGATGAGTGGCCGGGTATCCTCCACAATTGTTGGTCCCTCTTCAAAATTTATCGAGGTCATAACTGACTTCTTCCGGATATTCCTAAAACCTCACGCCCTTGCCGAAGGGTACAAGGCCTCGATTCCCAGTTCCCCCGACATCATCGTATCTTTTGAGGCAGGTTGATGTCCTGCCTACGCCTTCCAGCAATTGCAGCGAACACTCGTTAACTAGCCTGTCGAATGAAAACCAAATTCTCCTTGGTTATCGGGCCAGCCTGGGTCGGTTAGGCCAAGTAGTCTCGACTATCTGAACGGTGAGGACCACCGCAGTTGCGACACTTGGTGGTGGCTTTGCACTCCACCGCGCAGTGCATTATTGAGCCGCAGTTCCAGCAAGCCAGGGCACGGGAGAAATCACGGTTAATGTGGTAGCCGAGGCAACATCTACACTGCTCAATTTAGCGACGAAGCTGGAGATTTGTAGACATTCTAGACTCGTCGAAATACGGAAGCCCGCTCGAGGTGCAAACTGTCGAGGAAAAAGAAAATGCCAGTTGCGAGTTGGCGCACCGGGACGGCAACTTCTATGTGTCCGCACTTATAGTGACTCTTCTAGGGTCACTGGTGTACTCATCAGAGACCCACTCTGCGCCGACCATTTCAGTGTCCTTCGGCGTATTAACCTTTACAGACACATTAGCTATCCGGAAGGCGACAAAGTTCGAAGGTGGCTCGATCTTGGTGTTGACACTCGCCAATCTCGATGAGGCATCTAGGAGGCCTTATCTTTGTTCATCAAGTTTTGCCATTTTGGCAAAACTTGGCTTAACTGGGTGTATCGAGCTTTCAGTGATGGAAACGCATATATAATGTTCCAAAGATGAGAATAAGATACCAGCAGGGGAAATTTTCCGCCACGGCTGGTTGCTGTTAAGTCGTAGAAACGGTGGTTTTTCCATTTTTTCCTTAACGGGCTCAATCTTTGTGGTTGTAGCCATAGGTTACGGGACAGTTTTTACTGAGAAGACAGCTTTTGACCACCGTGACGCAGGTGCCTTTTACAGGCAGCGCTGGGACGTCGGGTATGATTGGGCTCCTGGCGCCGGGAGCTCTGGGAGGAGAATTTGCCGGGAGAGCGGGTGGCGTAGAGGCCTAGCCTAAAGCCATGCATAGCGCAATGGCAGCGCGTAGGTAGACTCTCATCGAGTCCACGAATTGTCTTTTTGACCCGTTGGTCAAGAGAAGGAATGTTGCTTCGGTGCCAGATTGGCCGCTGTTAGGACGGCGCGTCGTTCTTCGGCCTCGAGAATCGGTCGAAGTTCCGGGTGACATTCTATTTTTGTACTAGATTTTGGCTGTGACGTTGGTTTTGGTACTACTTTCTTTTGCGGTATCCGACGGTTCTGACACGATCGGAGAAGATTGGGAAGGCTCTCCTATCCTGTAGGAGGTGGAGGTTGGTGGAGGGATTTCCTCAACAACGCCGACTGACCCGATCATGTCAGTATCGGGCGCAGAGACGGCGAGAAGGGCTTTTTCCTTCCCTTTGCTTGAGGCCTTGCCCATCTCCATGCATCTTGGGACTGGGCGGGGCTTGTTGTTTGATCGAGGGCCCTCGGGTGGACTCTCATGTTGTCCAACATTGCGCTGAGACTCTTTTTTCGAACAGACGGCATGATAAGAATGCTGGATGCTCGATCCCAATTTTCTGAATGTATGCGACGAGCGCGAGAGTGGAGAAAAGGGGAATATGAGAAAATTCGAAAATTGTTAGGAATGATGGCACCAGTCATGAGTAATACCTAGACGACTATATACAATAAGATTTAAATAAAGATTTCTCTACTCTTACTATCGTAAAACAGTTATATCATTACACCTTCAGAACCTGTCCCGTGACCCACAGTGACTTACAATGAAGTGAAGAGGCAAGCAGATTTTTCAGATTCATATGGCTCACAACAAAACAAGCTGCCCGATAGTCTCCATGAAGCTTGTCGAAGACCATGATAGTCCTTCAGTTCCGTTATACAAATGGGCTATCGTTAACCAAGAATCATTTATAGATTTAGTCTGCCACCTTGCCACCCGCTTGACCCGCAGCTGACCCCCTTATTCCACCCTCATTTACTGACACCGCCACTTGGGTTTGAATGAAAATCTTTCCATCCATTAATTTCGACATTGTGCCAATGCCCCAAAGTCTTAGAATTGACCGCAGTATGATAGTCGTGTGTCTTGTATGGCAAGCTCTAAATTCCTGGCTGCAAGTGCTATTTACTAGGATTTCGTTTTGATTCTTGCTCGTCTCATTTGCACGCCGATGCTGCGAATATAGGGAATAAAGCATCTGTAGAAGTCGGTCACCCTTGAACGTTGGACACTCAATCCTTTGAATTTCGGCAAGTACGGACGTCAAGCTCATCACTCTGGTCATTTCCATTCTCGGATAATTGTTATACTTACCCTTGTTGTAATGGAAGTTGTAAAGAGAAGGTCAGGCTGTTAGAGCAATATTTAATATCACCTAGTGAAGCGATGTTGATTAAACCCACTTGGTATCGGAGCGCTATTTAAACTAATTACTAAATCTAAATGAAGGACACGATTCACTTCTTTATGCTAAATAATTGAGAGGCTGCTCAACGTATCACCTGTCATGAATGTGGCTAGTAATAATAGAACCTTATTACGTTCCATGTTAATGCGACTCTTCATTGCCAAGTAGCGCTAATTTTAACAATCTTCACACCAGATTGCCAGGTATTGAGAAAAGATAGATAGTCACAAATGACCTATGACTTAATGATCAGTGTTAGATAGTCTATGTGTTATGGTTATGAGCTATGCGGAAGTCACATTGTGGAGTGATGAGGAGTGGATGATGGTATATTTAGTGGTTGATAGTGAATAGACTCATACAATATTATGCTGTAGGTATATGGACTGCAAGTATAAGACTAAACCTGTGTCCATTTACTGTGGGTACATCTATTAAACTATATACATGCTCGTCTAACCAGTACACCATTGATGTATGCTGTGTCCTTGAGACACTCGCGATATCCTAGCCTCGGCTACCTCGTTGTCTCATATCATAACAGTATGACTCAAGTAGTACAATACACACATCACTACTACTTAATGATCGTTCATGTCTGGAAACATGAGATGTGAAGGGAGACCGGTAACTACTGTACATATGTGTTTCTTTTTATGGTATTGGACAAGAATCAAAATACATGTTGACCACAATCGTTATTACTGCTATAGAGAGCTTGTGATACAAATATCACCTGAGTATTCCGACAGATAGAAAGTAAGGGGTATTAATTAATAGTATTTCTTCTTAATTATTGTCTAGACAGATAGTCATTCCACATCTGTTATTTCCATTTCATGTTGATCGATTCTTTTTTGTTTCCGACAACCATTTGATTGAAGCATCCTTGTCACTTTAAAATAATAATCTTATATTTCTCTCATCTCGGCGCATCATATGCCAGTTTGCAAGACAACAATGAATACATCAAATGCTGTCACAACACCACTTTAATCCCTACCCCCCAGCAGCTATTCATGTAATTCGTAGTACATTTCGTGGTTGACTCAAGATTTGGTGGTGATGTTGCGCTGCTGAGTATCATAGGGATAGATCTAAACCGAGCTACGGATATTCTATAAATGCTGATTTTCTGATGAGTCGCTGGAGCCATCACTTGGCGTAGGAGAAGAAGGCTCTTCAAGAAATCCTTCCGGATTATTGCGACCCTCCCAGCATATGTCAAACTTTGATTTCTTTATTATCATAGCTTTGGGCTTTGAGAATGTGCGCAAATAGACGGCAACCACACTACATTGTTTAGTGATGACTACGTAGGGCGTAGGCTTGTAAATGCCATTTTCATCGCTCTCTAATGGAAGCAGCGGGTATATGTAAAATTTTTGCCTCTGCGAATTGAAACGATTGTGTGTTCGATGAACATTTCCGACTGAATTAAATTTAACAAGAGGGTTCTTTCGCATACGCGTATATTCTGTACAGGCTATATCTCCCTTTTGATAGATTTCTCCCTTGGAGAATTGAACTGTTCCACAGAGAACACCGGTTTCTGGCAGCATACTAATCCCTGTTTCCATGGAGTACTTGGGAATGCGGTGGTAGGATGTCGAAGGTCTGGTTCGTTTATGAAGTTTAACTACTTCGTGACCTGTCGCCCGTTCACTGTTGCTTCGAAAGCCGTTCACACCGAGCTGGAAACAGCCAAGGCTGAAGCCAATAATGAGACTCTGGAATTGCATGTTAATCGCCGTTAAAATTATGAGTGAGATAAGAGAATCGATTTAACTTGAGTGATGAGAGGTCGTTATTTCTGCGGTCTCCGGGGAGTGATGAAGTATTTGTTCTTCAATAGAGATTAAAATCGAATCCTGCCATCTCAGTCCCCAACACTTACTCAGTCGCCAGGGCGCCTGGCCCAGAAAAGATTACCAAACAATTTCCCCCTGCTGGAATTAGAGATAAATTGCGAAATGACATAGGTTACCTAAACAATGCTAAATTTTGGGCCTGAAGGACTCGCCAGACGAGTTAATCAGCTATGCATGAATCTAATCTCACCAATCGGCTCCTGCTGTCTCCGATAAGGTAATTCCGTGCCTGCTGGAGCATGTCATGTTAAGCTATGTAATGTATTTCAGTCATTGTACGAGAGTATCCCTGCAGGTCGTAGCACAGATCAGTGCACTACAATACCTATGCAGTGAGTGGAATATAACATAGTAGAATGGAACATGAAAGAATAGAATACAATGGTACAGAATATGATGGAATGACATGGGATTATTATTATTATTATTATTATTATTTTATATCATTTAATGTGCATGCAACTATAAAGCCATGACACATGACTGTTGCTTGGTCACATATTTGTCAGGAAATGCTGCTTAGTCAGCTAGTTGGTCAAGTGAAAGGTGTCCACATCATTAGTACATAACACCTTTATCACTACACACCCTTAGTCCTACATCTATACAATTCCTCACATATCGTATATTACTATCTGCATTATCTTACTCCCGTGACTATACTTTCTCAATATCCCAACAATATTGGATGACTCGTTTGGCGTTAGAGACACTCGCACTCTGGATTTCATTTGCAAATAGCACTATGAGTTATGATCGCTTAGACAAACAGTCGGCCTTCCTCCGTAAGTACCCACCAAAGGGATTTCAAAACATTTGATTATCCAAGCATACTTTCGTCATCTTGGAAAATTTTCCTGAACCCTCTCACGTCTCCCAAAGAACTGTCTCTCAGATTTGTGCGCCACGCTTTGCTTCCTCCGTCGGGTGTAGATATCGGCGTGGGCGTGTATTGGTGACTAGCCAAGGAAGAGAAAGTCGACAGGGGGTGTGGTCATTGGAATGAGGATGTACTAGCTTGTACTTGTAGACTTGATAAGGCTTGGGTAGGAATCGATTTCTTTGGGAGTGAAAGATTGACATGGTGGAATAATTTGAATCATTGCCTCGTGGGCCAACTTCTTTGGATTTACTAAATTTGACTGAACTTGGCTCTGGGAGGATATTGCACTCCTATGTCCGTATAGGACACCGCGTACAGGAGTTCAGTCATTGGCCCTTCTTACCAGCCGTCACAATCTTCAAACAACTGACAACTTTTTATAATTATTATTCATGCTGTATCCAGCCATCTAGGTATGACACATGACCGGTGCCCAGCGGAACTCTGGTGGCCCGGCCTCAAACGCCCAACAAGAGCAGGAATAGCCACGCCAGCTACCTCGAGCCTCTATACTATGATCGACAAGGCCAAAATGATGGGTCTCCGATCTGTACTTCCAGTTCTGCGGACTACTCCTAATATGGTCCCGCACAGGGAGGGAGGAATCCCTTCCGCAAATATTATTCTAGAGGGAAACCGACTACGATTTTCAGCTAGAATAAAAACCCTCGATGATCGGCACCCGCTGAGATCTCGTGCTGACATGTGCCCAAACGTTGGGACTCGAAAGTACAAGATGATTCCACGAGGATTTGATCATGTAGATAGACAAAGAACTCGTGCACAACGAGCTTATCGACGACTTCCGGACGTAGAAGCTTCGACGCCTTTATCGCCGCCATTTTACCCTACCAGGTCCATATCTAAGTCAGAAGGAAAAGAAGCGAGCAAATTTTGGATAGACAATATGCCCGCATCGGAAATTTGCGCCTACTCAGACGGCTCTTCGGAGGGAAACGGACGTTCAGCTTGGGGTTTTGTTTTGAAGAGATTTAGTAAGACTCTTCACAAGGAGAATGGTATCCGATACGGAGGAGAGGTCTTGGACGCAGAAATCACAGGGGCGCTAAAGGCTCCTGAGTCGGCACTGAGAATGAAAGAAGCGCAACAGCAGCTCAGGGAGACGATTTGGCGAGTCAATGTATTGCTGGATAGTCAGCATGCTGTAAAAGCATTTGAGACGGGCATCTCTTCAACTAGCTTCGAAGAGGTACGACAGTTTCGCATGCTTTCAGCATCAGCTATCGTGACGATTAAGTGGATTCCCGGTCACTCTGGAATCCAAGGGAACGAAGAAGCAGACGCTACTGTGCGCCTCGGCTTACGATTGCTGCCCAGTCCGGACAACCAACCAGTATCTATTTTGTTAGTATACCTTCGCCGTCTCATGAATAACCAGCTACAGGTTTTGCTCAGCGATTGGTGGGATAAAGCGTGTCTTGCTCGGTATCGAAAGCTAGATCTGCTCATGAAACGGCGCAAGCCCCCTGAACTAGCCCTACCAAGTCATCTACTCCGCAAACTAATTGCAGCTCGTACGGGACACGACAATTTCGGGGCCTATTATCACCGATTAAACAATGCAGACGCACCTAGTGAGTGCGCGTGTGGGAAAGAGACTAGTTCAACCCACTTTATACACTGTCGGCTCTATTCTCACGAAACACGTCGAATCCGAGGTCTAAAGTCCCACGACGACTTCATACATGAACTTCTTGGACCCAAGTGCCTTGAAGCCTTCAGAAATTTTGCACAGAAAACTCGATGTTTTGGGTGATCAGCTGCAGGCTGGACCTCTGCTCTCAGCGAGGTCCATATAAATTAGTCATGTAACATGACTCGATCGGAGGGGAGCGAGGCGAGAAGTTTTGCTTCCCAACCACAAGGGCTGATATCTTGTTGGAGCTCCAAGTTTTGGAGCCTGGAGTTATCTAGTGATTTCAATTTTGGAAATGGCTACATGGAATTTAACTAGCTACTATTTGAGTAGCGGTTCACTTGGTGGGAACAAGTTGGGCATATTATAGATATGATCTTAGCTGTAAACCCCGGTCTTTGACCCTCAGGGGATAACGGGTATATCCTGGGACTTCATAAAAAAATCGAGAAGCCCCAATTTGCCCACTCCCACCCTAATATCCATCTCAACCTTTGATTAACGAACCTGGGAGTGAAATATTCTCCCAGAGCCAAGTTCAGTCAAATTTCGCAATTCCGAAGAAGCTGGCCAACGAAGCAATGATCCAAGACTCCCTACAAAATCAAACTCTCCCACCCAACGAGATCGATCTCTTCAGAAACCTCATCAAGTTTAAAAGTACGACCTAGTACATCCTCATTCCAATGACCACACCACTCTTCGACCTTCTCTGACCTCAGTTGACCACCAAATACACGCTGTAAGGATTCTGGATAAATGCCTCAGGCTGGATTTATGCGTTCCTTTTTTTTTTTGGATCAGATTTTAATTGCGTATGCAGCTATCTAGCTATGACACAATATCAAAGAAAAGTACAGAATAGATGATTCAACGTTAAGGAAGAGCAATCATGCCTCAGATTTCATTTGCAAGTGCCACTGCGAAGTTATCGTGGCTTTTATGCGTTCCTTGTTAAGCACCACTAGGCTTATTGCCTAGCGAGGATAGTCATGCAGTTTTTATTTCCAATACTGAGATCTTCACGCTTTGTTTTCTGTCTTTAGGAATAGTTACATAATTCTAATTACATCTCACTCTCGTCCTCTGCCGTCCATAGTGACCTACCGTCACCTCCGGCCACTTGATCCAGAACGACTCCCCGCGTTCTCCTTTGTTACCTTTCTAGAAAGCCCTCTGCGTTCCCACGAGGCGTCCATTCTTAGTACCTCGTACGCTACGCCATCCCTTACGCCTCAAGTCTTGCGCCCAGTAAACCTGCGCCTAGTAAACCTGCGCCTGACACACGCCCACGCCGATATTTACACCCGACGGAGGAAGCAAAGCGTAGCGCACAAATCTGGAAGATGGTACTTTGGGATTGACGTGAGAGGGACAAGGACAAGTTTAGAAAATGACATGGAGGTTGGATAAAATCTCGACGGGCGTGAAATTTCGAATTTTGGCAAGGAGTTTTACAAATTGAGCTTCGTGCGCGCCGAGACATCGCTTGCGAGAGTGCAGCTGACACTATAAACACAAGTCAACGATGAAAGATGCCGTGATCCGCCTCCTGGTGGTATCCTCCGGTATAGTTTGAGTAGCTTAGGCACCTACTCCACTTGGGAAGGAGAGGCCTCCGACCATATTTCGCGCGGAGAAATGTGAACGGATGATGGAGGCATGTCTGGATAACCCAGGGTTTTGAGACGTTTCCCTGGGTGGGTGTACACGGATGAGGGTTGACTTTGGGTGAAGAAAAAGCCGCCATAACTTCGCAGTGATACTTGCAAATGAAATCCAAGGCATGACTGCTCTATTCATATATTGAGTCGTCTTTTCTGTACTTTTACCTGATATTGTGTTATAGCTAGATAGCTGCGTACGCAATTAAAATCTGAGGCAAAAAAAATCGAATTGCATCGTAGATGTTTCACATTGGCGACATTTTAAAATGCCTCCGACGCGTAAATCGCACCAAAACGCGATCAGCGGCACTGCCAAAAATCGCGTCAATAAACCCTACAAATTGCATGAATCTAGACGAACCATTGCAAGGCAAACACTATCGGAGAAATGAGTAGAGGCCTCCGATCAAAATTTAGATTTGTTAGAGTTAGACTCTAGTCCCATGGTGTCTAAACTGTGTTTATTAGACTGCAGGTTTCCGCCGCTGATCATACATCTACGGGCAAATTACACTTTAGGATATGTGCACGGAAATGAAGGCTGGAAAACTTAATACAGAACTGACGGACATGGTAGAAGGTAGTTTCGGACTTGCGCATAATATGGGAGGCAGGTCACAACTCTGTATCGAACATATATCTCAGGGGATATAGGTGCTCTATG